ATGGCATCACAGGTCAGTATCTCGTGCATCCGCCATGTGCATTGATGACTGCCGTGCAACGTCGATACATGGAATGGATGAGGCGGTTGATGAAGAACTTGAGCCCAAACTCTGAGGAACGCCTGACGCAGTTCAGCTGCAGTTGTCGGCCTTGGCCGGACGTCATTCAGCCGTCTTTGAATCTCGTTCCTCAGGTGCTCAATGGGATTTAAATCGGGAGTGGGGGCAGGCCACTGCATGGTTCTGATGCCTTTCTGCTTGAAGAAGTCGCTTATTGCTCTCGCAGCGTGGGCACGGGCGTTATCATGCTGAAACTCGTGGTTGCGGCGACGTGCCAAATGAGGTATGGCGTGTGGTCCCAATACTTGATCAATGTACCGAGCTCCTGTGACACCATTGCCTCTCCCTGGACCGATGTTCTGGAAGACCACAGGGCCGACCCTCTGTGCAAGACCAATTCCACCCCACACCATGATGCTCGGACCACCCCACGAGTCTCTATCAACAACACAAGCATCCGAATAACGTTCCCCTCGGCGTCGCCAGACTCTCTCTCTCTCTTTCTCTCTCTCTCTCTCTCTCTCTCTCTCTGCCATCTGCGGTTGAGATACAGTAACGGCTCTCGTCTGAGAAGAGGACTCTTCTCCACTGCTGGTGGCGCCAATGCTGCTGCTGTGTTGCCCACTGAAGATGATCCCGGCGATGATGTGGTATCAGAATGGGTCCTCGGTGTGGCCTGTGACAGTAGAGGTGTCTGCTCGTCAATCGTCGACGCACAGTGTCCGATCTAATGTGTCGCTGGTGTGTCCCCACGGTCTGTCGAGCAGTTTCAGTAACAAAGCAATCTTGAAGATGCTGTCGCACAATCTGACGATCCTGACATTGGGTGGTCACCCTTGGTCTTCCACTACGTGGTCGGTCATCTGTGGTGTTGGTGGTCTGGTATCGTTGCTGGAGCCTCTATATAGTCCTTACGTGGACCTGAAATGAATTGGCCACTTGCCGGGCGGTTTGTCCAGCTTGCAATCGTCCATTTTGCGATTTACACGGAACTCACGTGCATCGGGTTACCATGGCCGTTGCCGTGATGCGTTTGGGCGATTGGTTTTATTGTCATCTGCTTTGTTTTTTATCATCAAATTTCATTTTTCCGGACAAGGTAAAGTAAAATTTTAGAAACTTTGACAAAATTACCCAGATATTTAAATAACAACTTTTCATGCAATGTTACTTAAGGTGACGTTTCTTTTGCGGTTCAGTATATATAGCATATATACAGCAAATAGTCAAGACCCAGAAAAACAGTTCGTTTTATCCGTCAGTTCGTTATAAGCGTGTTCGCTATAAACATAATTTACAGTAATAGCTATTTCATATTTAAATATGTGTATGTGCATATATTTGCAAAGGGTAAACTTAGAGAAGGTAGTTTTGTCTCCCAAAAGACGTATAACTTCCGTATAAATCATCATTGATCCTGATAACGTCTCCACAAACAATAAAGGGTATGACCAAAGGGTCAACGAAGAAACGATTCGTCTATATGCCTGCATGTGAGGGATCCGATTGTGCTATGATAAGCGTAGGACAACACCATGCCTTGTGTCCAGGGACACCGTCAAGAACAACGTCATCCTGGTCACTTATGTCCAAGCCGGATGTCATTAACCTGGTCATCGAGGGCAAGGTATTTCTGATGAGATTCTCTTCGCTTTATTAAACCTGTTTGATCACATTTCAGCCCCGTGTCCAACAACAGGCCGGGTGATAACGCGCTCGTTCGATTGCAGAATCCGGTGTCTCCAGGACTGATCATTTGATTTGGTTATTCAGCCTGCTAGTTACCAGTTAACCCCTTCACCCCTATCCGTCCCAATCTAATCAAATGACAACTCTATACCTGGCTCTTGTCGACATACGAGAGAGAAATAATGAACTTAATTTCTTGCTTGTCTATATGATATTCCAGAAGCGTGTTAGCTATCTTGAACTATTTGACATATAAGGACACCTAGGTTATTTACATCTCTGAATGTGAAAGAAGATCCAATTCAAGGTGAAACTTGAGTGTTGGTCTGTGGCAAGTGAAATATAGGGTAATTCGTATTGATAGGTCGTGTACATAGTCAGCGTCAGTGGTGGTAAGTCAGATCAGTCATAAACGAATGCAACAGTTTGTTTTACGTCTTTAACAAGGGCTTCGGTTTCATTAAGTTCGATATGTAAATAGAGTAAACTAACTGTTAGGATAACAGTACTATATTTTAACAGGCAAGAGACGTATTATCAAGTTTGGACGATATAATATTGATTACAATTTACTCGTCATGTTGTTATCTAGTTCAGTCTATCAATTAGTGGTTATATTAATTACACGCTCCAAGGGCCGCATTTCTAATAGGGTACCAATGATACCAATGTTAATCACAACACTGTGAATAGAAAACCATCCCCTTAAATTGTAGCCGACGGCCGGAATGGAGGGTAGATTGGTACACAGAAAAATATATGTCATATTTAAATGATGATGCTGTCTGTCTAGAAGGACAGACACGTTGTATCCCGAGACATGACATTGAGGCAAGTCAAATTGGGATTCTTCTTCTAATATTATGATAATCTCGTCAGGAAACAATATACATCTTTGCATATTTCAAGTCGGTTTAATCATTGTTATTAACAATTGCATTTATCAAGAATAAGGTTATGTATGTACACCTACTTTCGCACTAGCTGTTTGGAGACGAAGGGGTTTTCGTCGAAATACGATAGCGTTATAGACGAGGGGAGACAACTCCATTTTACGCGCAGTTGGTGCCTCATTTGAGTTATAATCTTCATGAAAATGTTGTAAAGCAAATATACTGGCTAAACTGGTTTGACAAAAACCACCCTCACGTTCCTCCTCCTACTGTCGCTATAGTTTCCGGAGGACCACTTGAACAAAGTTTATGATAGATTTTAACTATTATTGAACAAGAGCTCCTTTACAAGACTTATACTTAATATTCATATTTTATTATCATACTGATAACATCTGACACTTCACGCCGCAGTATTCTGACAGGGAGACAGACAGACTACGCTGTGATACAATACATAATCTTACCTGTTCAGCTTGTTTCAACACTTGAACTTTTGAAAGAAATAAGGCTATGTTAAATAATACTTCTGTTTCGTTGGTCTGTAGCAGCTTTTAAAATCTGTCCCTTGTTGGAATTTCATAATAAATGTTTGATATAGTTCTTTCTGAGTTGTTGATGTTGATGTATATACAAGATTTGTCATTCCTTATGCTCTTAAAACCAAATCATTCGAGTGTTCTTTTGGGGTTTGAGAAATCGCTTACAGAAGAACGCGTGAACAGTTTCTATTATTATGGTGTTCCCCACACCCAGAACGCAGCACACTTTTGGAACATCCGAAACTTGAAAAATACGAACTTGTGTTGATACTGGTCTATACATAATATTGCCTTCCTTGCTTGTGATGCCAGGCAGTTCTGTGCTTTACACCATGATCGCGTATGAGTGAACATTATTTAAGGATTGACTGTGTATTGTTTTCGGTTCATTGAGGTATCAATCGAAAAACCGATGTGCCAACTGTATGAATCAGCGTAGCATTTATAACATTAATAGAAAGTATTAAAATGTCTTTGGCAAAGTGTTGAAATCACACGCTCCGTAATTCGCTTCCAGTTTGACGTACGGTCTTAATCATGAACCCCTCTTAGAATTTGGAATACACTGTAAATCAACGTGCTCATTTACAATCGTGAAATATTGTTTCTTGTCTCCAAGTCCTTTTATGCCCCTAAAAGTACTTAAAAGATATTGACCCATTCATTGACATATATTTTGAAAGTTTTCACTCTGTACAGTAAAGTATAGTTCATCAATTAGTTCAAATACCCCCTTAATCCCATATTGTCTTACTAATCACCACGCTCGGGTGTAGTTGTACCTATAACAATAGATGCTGGACGACCCCCAATAACAAGGTAGACACAATTTTATGGATAACTACTTCTTTAATACTGTAAAAAGCGACGTTTTTTTGTATAGATCCTTATGCCGTTGTCAAGCAAGACGGAATAGGGGATATAGTACAGAATATATATAGTAGGTGGAGGATTAACAGTAACAACAATTGCATATATGAGTGGGATAACATAGGTAAGGTGTTGACAACAAAGGATAATGCCGTCACAACACGATGGACAGAGAACACAGAGGTGGAAGCCAATTGGACATGAAGCCAATTAAACAGGATACGTGATTATTGCTTGATAAGTTCATAGTAGGCGGATGGGATGAAATAACCTTGATCTCCGTTGATTGATGGTTTGTGGCGGCGAAAGTGGATTGCTTCTGTTAGTTTCCTTTGGGTGAAATCATTGAGGTTGTTGGTGAGGATTTGGACGTTGTTCCAGTTGATGTTGTGATTAGGACAGTTGCTGATGTGGTCCGAGATGGCTGATTTACTGTCGGATTTAATGGTGGAGGTTTTGTGCTCTTGATTCTGGTGTTGATTCGGCGGGATGTTTCACCTACATGTACGTAAGATTATCCACAGTTGCAGTCAATTTTGTTAACTACACCTTTAGGCTCTTGGGGTTTGGTTGTGTTCCTGCTGTTGGCTCTTAGCAGGGTCTTGTGGGAGTTGGAGCTGGTGAAGTGGGTGTCGATGTTGGCTTGCTGTTTGAGGAAGCGGCTGATGATGTGGGAGGCTTTTCCTATGAACGGGTTTGTCGACGAGATATGGTGGATAATTGTTGAGGTGGGTGAAGACTTGGCCCAGGTGTTCGATCTCAGGTTTGGGGTCAGCAGAAGAAAGGTTGATGGCTCGTTTGGTAGAGGTGGTTCTAAGGGGGTGGTTAGAGTTGAAGTGGATATACTGGTCAGTGTGGATGGGCTCCCGGTAGACACTGGTTTTAATTCTGTTTGTTGGGCTTCTGGAGACGAGGACATCTAGGAAGGGTAGTTGGTTGTCCTTTTCTATTTCGATGGTGAAAGGTACTCGGGGGTGTTAAGATGTTGTAGTAGCAGGGTTGGGTTTTGGTCTTGTTTTAGGTTGACAAAGGTGTCGTCAACTTTCCTGTACCAGCAAATAGGTTGGACGGGTGATGTGGTGAGGGCTTGCTGTTCGAAGTAGGTCACGTAGATTTCAGTTAGGATAGAAGAGAGTGGGGATCCCATGTGTTGGCCGTGTATCTTTTGATAGTACTCGTCGCCCCAGGTGAAGTATGTAGAGGAGATACAGGCGGTGGTGAGGGCGATGATAGATTCAGTGGATAGGCTGGTTTCAAGAGGAGTTTCAGTGATGCGGCGGCGGCGAATTTGCAGAGTGTCATCTATGGGTACGTTGGTGAAGAGGTCTACAAAGTCGTAACTGATGATCTGATCTGGATCGGTGATGTTCTTGAGTTTGGAGCAGAAGTCCGAGGAGTCAGAGATGAAGGAGTCAGCTGTTTTTCCTAAGGGATTCTGGTTAATTGTTGGGCTGTTTTGTAGAAGACAGTACCTCGGCAACACATAAGTAGACATAATCTAAACAAGGCTCTCACTCTAGAAGCAATTCTAAACCCACAAAATAAACTAGAAAACTTCAAGGCCTTAGGCGTATTCTTAATCAAAACGGAACTAATAAAACGCAACTAAAAACTCAATTACCTACCAAATCAAAATCACATAAACAAACAAACATCCACAATACCCAGCTCCCTTAGTTCTCCTCCCCAAACCCATCGGCATCTATTCCAAATCTCAAAATTCCCAAATTCTATATAAGCAACCCCTAAAGCCCACTCTTGGGTTGCACAGACCACTTTCGCCCCTTTCGGAAACACATTAAATGGCCTGGCCGGGCCCGTGTGCGAAATACGCATCAGTCGGAAAGCGCACGTTAAATCTCCAAAGTAAGTAAGTAAGTAAGTGAGGGTTCGTGTGCATTTTGATGGTGGCTCTGGCATAGGGTGGTTTGGGGTGATTGGCGGAGAGTTGGTGGTGAAGAACTTGGCTAATTTCAAAGTTGTCTTTTAGTTGTTTGAGGAGAGCTTGTTGGCGATTGGGTCCTTCTTGATCTTGGACTAGGTGGTAGGGTCTTGGAGGATGTTGTTCACTAGCTCATGGAAGTGGTCAGTGTCCATGATGACTCTGGCCTTGACTTTGTCAGCAGGGGCAATCTTGATGGTGTTGTCACCTCTGTGTTGTTTAATGGCTTCAGTCTCAGCTCTGGTGAGGTTAGGGGTTTGTGATTTGGTTTTAGCAAGAATGTCACAGATCTTGTTGATTTGGTTGGCCTTGGTCTTCGTGTGCAGTTTGTTCTTGGCCTGGATCTGGGCAGTGCGCCGTGAGGAGAAGGTGTCTGATTTGAGCGTAGTGTTGAGCTGGTTGATATGGCCGCCCAATCAACACCAGAATCAAAGAGCACAAAACCTCCACCATTAAATCCGACAGTAAATCAGCAATCTCGGACCATATCAGCAACTGTCCTAATCACAACATCAACTTGGACAACGTCCAAATCCTCTCCCACAACCTCCATGGTTTCACTTAAAGAAAACTAACAGAAGCAATCCACATTCGCCGCCACAAACCATCAATCAACGGAGATCAAGCCTACTTCATTCCATCCGCCTACTATAAACTTATCAAGCAATAATCACGTATCCTGTTTAATTGGCTTCATGTCCCATTGGCTTCCACCTCTGTGTTCTCTGTCCATCGTGTTGTGACAGTATTATCCCCTTGTTGTCAACACCTTACCTATGTTATCCCACCCATATATGCAATTGTTACTGTTAATCCACCACCTACTAAATATATTCTGTACTATATCCCTCATTCAGTCTTAATTGACAACGGTATAAGGATCTATACCGAAACGTCGCTTTTTAAAGTATTTAAGAAGTTGTTTTCCATAAAATTGTGTCTACCTTGTCATCCGTCAACTTCTAAGTAATGGCTATCAACAATTTGACCCCCAATAAACCACCATGTAGACTGGGCGCCGGCCCGATCGCTGAATTTGCGCAGCGCTTCAAACACCGGCCTCTGATGTGGTGGAGTTGTGGAGTGTGGTAGTCTGCTTTTGTGTTGACTGTTCTCTATCTGAGTGTTGTGTCCGTGTGTGTGTGTTGCTTGTATTGTCTTAATATTGCCTTATTCTGCCTGTATGTTGACTGTACTATATGTTTTGACTGCCCGTGTGTTTTTTGGTATGCTGTAAGTGTGTTTATGTGTATTGAGTGTGTTTGCATACGGGTGTACAACTGTTAATGTGTCTGCTGTCTGTCGTTTGTCTGTTGCCTGTGTGTGTTGTCTGTTGTATATCTGTATGTTTTGACTGTAAGCTGTGTGTTTACTTCAGACAATGTGTTTCATATGTGTGAACCATTGTTTTCTGTTTGACTGTACATGTTGGCTATTGTTTGTTGATTGCGATTTGTACATGTTTGTTGACTTCTTTGGGAAGTGTTGGCTTGTGTTTGTATGTTGACGGATGCCTCCCCTCTTCTTTCTCTCTCTCTTTCTTTCTCTCTCTCTCTCTCTTTCTTTCTCTCTCTCTCTCTCTGTCTCTCTGTGCTGTCTGTGTTGAGGCTGGTGTCGGTATGTGTGACTGTTGTCTGTGTGTAATGCATGTCTGTTAATGATGTATGTCTGCCTGATGGTTTTGTGGGTTCACTGTTGCCTGTTTGTGTGTGATGGCTGTTACCTTTCTATGTGTTATATTTAGGTCCATGATATTTTTACAAATATAACATAAAACATATCCAAGAGATTTAAACTGTGTTTATTTTACAAAATATTGTCAAGATTGTAAAAGACGCCTCAGCTCTGTTATACTCAGCAGCATATACAAAGCATAGGAGAGGCAACACGACAGGTAATAAGACGAGAACACAAGGGCAACAGAAAGAATACCACACAGAGGATAACGAAAGTGTGTTTCATCATTCTCATAGTGTGATCATTTCCCCGTCAGTGTTGGTCCAAACCAACTACATACATTCGCAGGTCAGTGATCTGAATGTGAGGACATTGTTTGGAAATACATAAGTCCGGTCCAAAAAACGTCCTATTTACAGGATTTTATGGAATATGCAATTTAACCCTAGGGTTTCATATGCAAACACCACAGAGACTGCAGCAAAGATATATTGATCCTGACTCTTTGATATTTAAAAATGGCCGTTTGAACTTCTTTCCTAATCAATGGATATAGAAATCGTTTGGTTCCATAAAGTCAACAATGTCGTTTTTATGATCATAAATGGGAATTTGTTTTTAAGCAAGTTCGCTTTATCTATTTCCTGCGATCTACAGCATCGATTCGAAATCACGCAAATCTAAATATTTAAGAATCTTGATGTAGTCAATAGAACCGTTCAATATCTGCATTAATAAATCTGCAAAACGTATACACGTGTGCAGTAACAGTGTAATTGATTTAAAACGGTTTTACTTCAACATGCTACTGATGATTGTATCTGAAGTATAATCATAATTATTGATTGCCCAATCAATGTAGCGACGTGTGTTCAGGGAGAAAGATCATACAATTATCAATAAAAGATGTGGTAACGAAATGTAACAAAGATTAAATAAGCATACAAGTGACATGCAAGTGTTCAGCACAATATATATTACATGCCGAAAACTGAAACAGATATATAGTATAAAACAAACTATTTTATCCGAAGTAAACATATTCGTTGAAACGAATAAACAATTGACAAGAACAGACATGATCTGTCATGTTCGAAACACACCGGTCACAGCATGAAGAGTAATACTACTCGCTGTCATCCTAATGGTGTATAATACAATGGACACTTTAATCTTTTGTAATATGGTTATTATCTATATTCATACAAAACAATTGAAATAACGTTTCCTGTTGCAAAGTCCGTATGTGCACTATCCAACAGTGAGTGTGTGCGAATATAGGGTATTTAAAACACATGGTGTAAACAACAATCAATCACCTGTTCTAAAAAAACAGTTCCTGTACAAGACACACGTAGAATCGTATCTCTGTGTAGCTCTAAATACCGGGTCCTATTCACAGCGTATCTCAAGCAGGGCACATGCGCATTAATTCTTTAAAAGAAAATACATATCAATTATAACATCATCTTTAGATTATCAATGTACTAAATATTAGCCATTCCAGGGACCATATGTTCAGACAACCCCATTCCAGCTGACAGTATGGTTTTAGCCTTGAGAAAGGGCCAATTTGTTTGTATTAATCATCATAATTATACTTGATTGCACTCTCCCAGTTCAACGTGCTTCATCAGTTGTTAATAGTTGCATGGAATATACTGTTTTAGTGTGTACAGGTGAGAAATAAATATACATGTTTTAGAGGTTGATGACAGTTAACAATTGCATGGGAAGCATGTTGCCATTATGTACATTGCAGTGTGTGTGTGTGTGTGTGTGTGTGTGTGTGTGTGTGTGTGTGTGTGTGTGTGTGTGTGTGTGTGTGTGTGTGTGTGTGTGTGTGTGTGTGTGTGTGTGTGTGTGCATATTGCTTGGCGAAGTGTACACCGTCTATAGCAGCGTGAAGGATATAGTACCGGTATTGATCATGCTATACTTTGTGCCGAATGATGTATTGATCTTCCAGACCTCCACAGATGTCGACACAACTATATAAAGATGGCGCGCGCAGATATTTCATTCCTTGGTCGATTTCTTTCACAGATGTGTACGAAAATATATATATTCATGTACAAACTAATTACGTCAATATATGATTCTAGGGTTACTTAACTTAAATAAAATTATTTATCAAATTATGTTACATATATTTACTGATGGTACTTGTATGACCTGCTATAGTACCTTCAAATTGTATTATAGTATGCTCAAATGCCACACGCTCTTACAATATCTCAAATGTTGTTACAAACATCACCTTTTCTGTTATTGATATGAACTGTTCAGTCACATACTCCAAATACTGTTCGACTATATCAAACGTTTCATTCCTCGTATTGATGCTCTTCGATCGGGAGACGATTATAAAGACGGTGGAACTTTTGTTCATGATAATCACGTGCAAGATTCAGCAAATAGTATAGTTTGTAATGTTTGTACAGTTTGGGTTGATGCAACATGAATACTATTTGTTATGGAAGGATTATTCTTGTTATTGTTATTATTAATCTGCTTCTGCTTCCAACAATTCAAATCATCATTCATGTATGATGTTCATTAATCATGAAGCCTATACACATACATCACATATTTTCAGTACATATGTACATTAAGTGCACCATGTATGCATATTAACAAGCTTGTCTATATCAGCTCACAGCTCCATGTAAAATGTGTCTTTAAGTGCTCCACGGGCATCAAATGTGGTAATCATTATAAAAGTCTTTGGTGTCATAAATTGTGAATTCTTCAAGTTCATCGTTGTTGATCGAGCGTTTTTGCAGTGGTCACGCGCCCTTGTGTATATAATGACATCCGGTTTCCTGAAAAGGATTTTTTCTTTCCTTTTTACCAAGTGGAAGGGGAATAATGCCAAGGCCCAATGTTAAAAAGGGACGACCTTTACACATATCCTTTCTCAAAGTGTACATTCCTGCAAACAAACATATCCTGCAGCCCTGCTGTCCTTGAAGCAACCGAAGCGCTCATAGAATGTCTTAACCCAACAGTACCTGTGTAATCAGTCGTATGCACGCATCACATCCAACCACATGTAAATAGCACTGTCAAAAATTGTTTCGCGGGAGAGACACTGGTATCTCACACAGGGTCTATGGACTAATTAACTCATCCCCATCACTTCAGTCCTATCTGTAATACCTCATATGGTACAGTACATGACAGATGAGTTCGGATTATTATTAATTTGACGAAGAGGATAATACACTTCGTTGAGGAAGCTACACGTTTTCATATTGGCTGGTTCATGTTGTACTTAAGCTCCACCTTAAGCTAGAAGATGCGGGGCGGATCCCAGGATTCCGGCAGTGGACCCTACAGTTAGACTGACACAGATAATGAAGCAGAGTCTGTCAATAACCATAGCAGCGAACTTCCACTCGTTCTTGATGTCTGTCTCTTCTTCATCTTTCTTTATCTTCAAGGTGATCTTCTTCAACTCCTTCAGAATGGAAATAATGTCGTGCCTGACGCCGGTTAACTGAACAGCGTCGTCCACCTTGATGGGCAGGCCGTTGCTGTGCACCAATCTGATGTCATCATCCATTTCGAGAACATTGGCCATGAGAGACTTGGATTTCTCCTCCAGTTTGACGTCGTACAGACGGGAACGTTGCGCCACAACGCGGCGGGATGACAACGGATCTTGGCCCGGTCTGCTCATGCGCAATACCCAGGCAAGCCAGCCGCAGATTAAACTACGGATCTACAAGAAGATGAAATATACTTCATTTTAGTCATGGCAACACAACATAGTTGTACAGAAGGCTATGCCACTAAACATGGTAAAACAGAGAAGCGGAGGGTGTTGGGTCAGCCTCTTTTTTAAACGCATACTAACCATATTGACGTTTAAAAAGCATTATATCATCACTTGGTAATATATTTTAAACAAAAGTAACAATTATTGACTACTATTTGGCCAAGTAAACGCAAATATATCCGTAATTATTAAGCCCCTTCCCCTCTTCCCTGTTCCTTAACGCTATATCTGCGCTTGGCATTTAAAGATTGTTTTTACAAAAAAAATTAAACAATCTTTATAATTACTAAACTGCTTCGGATTAGTGTTGGGATCAGTCACATGGGCGGTATGAATCAATATAGGATACCACACACACACAAACTTTGTAATTACAACCAGATATACTTCCTGGTATCTATGACATTATGCTGAACGTGAGGGAGAACGTCATGACATAGGGTATCAGAATATAACAGCTCGAGTTTTGTTGAAGTGCGAGAACACATATTTGTGTTTTTCTCCGGTAATCAAAGTACTAATTGTTTGATAGGTGACAGATGACAAAGTAAACAATTCATGGACAACAACTTCTTTAAAGACAAGTTTCGGTATAGATCCTCAATCACAACATCAACTGGGAAAACGTCCAGATCCTCTCCAATAACCTCCATGATTTCACTAAAACAACTAACAGAAGCAGTCCACATCCACCGCCACAGTTGTTATCCATAAATTGTGTCTACTTTATCAAAGTACTATATCAAAAAGAGTCATGTAAATGTTGATCAATGATACTAAGGGCATTTATCAGAATACTCGATTGTCACTCACACATATAGTGCATGAAATACATATTTAATGTATCACTTCATTTATGTATCATTTTTGCTTGGAGTTGAAACGTTTTCTGTGGAATAAAGTGTTGCGTATGATAATATTTCTATAACTAAAACTTCTCATTTTAAGAGTCAGTTTAATTAATAACACATTTGCCATGATATTATTCTACTAATCAGAACACAATCTGTAGATGTCAATCATATGACATGTTTACACATGTGTGGGAGACATTTGATAAATAAGTGCAATATATTTATTCCCTTAACGTCAAAGTCATAGTAGCCACTACAGGGCTATAGTTATATTAACCATTGTCTGGGCATTCAATAAAATCCCTAATTGCAACATTCATAAACGTCTCATTTATTGTGAAATTATATATATTTCATAACCGACAGTTCTTTAGCATGGACACGTTGAAGCACAGTTATGTCCCTTTACACACGCCCCCCTTATTGGGGTTTCAGTGATTGAAAGAGTTTGAGTAGTATTGTATCCACATCACGGAGGACACTAAAACTGTTTGGCTTCACACATTGTACCCTTGTGGGGAATCGATCTGCCTTTGTGTGATGAATCAACGATCTAACTTGTAGGCAACATCTAAAGTGAAGTTGATGTATCAATGATCATGATGTATAAATGCAATAAACATGTGTTTTTTTCTGTCAAAGGTCTGCCTATAAGGTCCCGTTCTTACATTTCCTGTAAATCGGTAACAGGGGTCATTTAAAATCACTGAATGTATTTCCATTTTTTTGAAGAATTCCACCTACCCATCTAGGCATGCTGTGGTTGTCCGAGGACCTGTGGTGGAGGTTGAGCACTATCACAGTGAACAGCACGGACAAGGAACACATGAACATGATGCAAGCGAAATAGATACCTGAAAGGAAACAGAGCATTAATGAACATTGTTATATTAATGGGAGCGTGCGCCGCTATCTGCTTTGAAAAACGTACTTTTAATGGTTGAGCTGTTAAGTCTTCAGGAGTTTTCACTGTGTTTGACTATCTTCATTCACTTACCCGCCCCCCTCCCCCCACAAAGCACACACCACAAAAAAGAGAAGAAAAACACACTGCAAAACAACAACAACAACAACAACAACAACAACAACAAAATACCAACAACAAAAACAAATATTTGAATACACGTAGAAAGACAGTTCTTGGTTAAATTCGAATGACACTATTTGCCACGAAGTTGTTTGCAGAAAAAGTTTAGACTTTAGTTATTAGGCTTCCTCACCGATCAACGGCAGGGCATCTGAGGTCGGCGGCATTGTCTCAGCCACCAGCAGCAGGAACACCATCAGCGACAGCAATATTGTCACACCTTAAACAACATGAAGGTCATTTTTTTTAAAAGTACAGAAAAATATCATTTGCTTATTAGCATCTGAAATGTCATAGCGAGCGGATAATGAAAAATGTATTCAATGACGAAGTCTTGACCCCATGAAAAAATACATTTCTCATTTTCTGGCGCTAAGCTAAAAACACAACTCAATCTTGTATGATTACTTTCCAAACAACTCGTCATAAATTACATGAACATTGGCTTAATACGCTAAATACAAGCAGTTAAAGATGTTATACACGAGAGGTGATACGCGAGACTACCGTTTTCTTTCAATGCACAACCTATCCCATTTACCATGAACCTGCTTCCGGGCGAACACCTGGTGTCATCACTGATTTTCTGTGATCAATCCATATAATTTGGATATTGCCTTTTACACCCAGAATTTGTTTTGGTGGATAATCGAGACTTGTTATTCTCTGAGTTTCTGGTCGCCATCAGGGAGACATTACATAAATGCCCAGCGAAATGTTAAAAAGAGACATTGTATGAACGTATCTTATGAGACCGTCTTTCCGCCTGCATGGAGCCGTCTTCCCGCCTGCATGGAGGCTTAAGGAAAAGCTGAGATATGTGTCTTGCGAGATACACCGGCGACGAATCGAGGCAATAATGACTTACCTGCACATAGACAGTGCACAAGGCGAAGCTAATTTAAAAAGTTCCAACAGATATTTTGATTGTACCCATATGTCTGGATGGGGAGATATTACATGTACCTATCGAGATGTTCGTCCTTTTGTCAAGAAAAGCTTAAATTAACGTAGCCCTCTAGGTCCATTACCTTTTGTCAGGACAAGGTGAAATTCAAGTACCTTTCGAGATTCTCTTACCTTTTGTCAGGAAAGGATTAACTTCACATACCATCTCTAATCTTTTGTCATGACATGTGAAATTCACGTACCTAGCGAGATCTTCTCCCCGGCATCTGGAGGAAGGATAAAGAGAAGCAGAGACATGGAGGAGATGAGGACGCAGGGTATGATGATGTTGAAGCCGTAGTAGAGGGTGCGCCGTCGCATGTGGATGGTGAAGGTGAGGTCGATGTAGAATTCAGGGCAACATTCATACTCCAGGATGTTCCTCCGCACAGGCACACCTAGGGATGACATTGAAGGTCAATACTATGTTACTCCTGCTTCAGTGTAGACCTACACAGGCACACATGGTGATACTATTGAAGGTCAACGATATGTTACTCATGCATCAATGTACATACACAGGCACACCTGGTGATACTATTGAAGGTCAACGATATGTTACTCGTGCATCAATGTACATACAAAGGCACACCTGGTGATACTATTGAAGGTCAACGATATGTTACTCATGCATCAATGTACATACAAAGGCACGCCTTGTGATACTATTGAAGGTCAACGATATGTTAAAAGTGCTTCGGTGTAGTCCTACACAGGCACACCTGGTGATACTACTGAAGGTCAACGATTTGTTACTCGTGCTTCAGTGTAGTCCTACACAGGCACACCTGGTGATACTATTGAAGGTCAACGATTTGTTACTTGTGCTTCAGGGTAGTCCTGCACAGGCACACCTGGTGATACTATTGAAGGTCAATAATATGTTACTCGTGCTTCAGTGTAGTCCTACACAGGCACACCTGGTGATACTATTGAAAGTGTACTCCTTCTGCACATGCACATGTGGGAAAGACATGTGAGTAAATAATGTGTCACTGAATTTCATTAAACTACCTATACACGGACACATCTAGAGATGACATTGAGCGTAAATAATGTGCAACGGTAGGTGTATCGTTTTGAAATGTTGTGTGGCAGAACCAAAAAAATATGTTGGATCCTGTTGTAATTATGAATAAAAAGAATGTGCCGCCGTTTAAGAACTCTTAGTCGTAGGTAGGACAGACAATATGTCATTTTACAACAGACATGTTGTAATGTCTGATCAGAAACATTAAAGCGTGCATTATAAAAACTTGTCTTGGGTATGAAATGTACGAGATTGACAAATTTAGAATTTTGAGCATGGGACGTCCTATTACAGAGACACGCCTATTGAAACAATATCTGTGATAGATTTTGAAAAGATCAGCAGTAGAAAGACAAATCTCCAACATTAGAACCATAATCGGCTTTTATTATAATACCATGTTGGCGTTATATACAAAAAATATATTTTGTTTTTAGTTAATTATGCATTTCTATGTATTAGGTGATACTGTCGATTACATTGCAATCGTTTGGGTATAGTGTCGATTATACCAGATGAAGAAGTGGTATGTTCAAGGTACATTAACCAGATATTTTTTTTCATTCGCAAAGGAAGCTATAATCGCGTTTCAATGACGATGATGCGATAAAATGCACCAGAATCTATAACGGGTAAATGCAAATCCAAAAGGTTACACGCCAGTAATACGAATTACTGTAGCACATCGTGTGTCCCAGTCATTCACGTGGAGAAGGTCGGATTTGCCTCCAACACATGATCCTTTGTTAGCCCCGTACTCGTTTGTGAGGGTTTCGCCAAACTTGTAACGTCAATTTAATCAAATTCAGGTTATAATGGGACGTTAAAGCCAGCTCACTCCCTCACTCACACATTGGCTGACAGCACAATCATATGTTACCTATGAGTTCCCACTCTCCGTTCCTGATGAAGCTGGTGATGTCACCGCCGGTGGCGTTGTCCGGGACGAGATTCAGGAGACGGCCGTCGTGAGTCCACGATCCAAACTTTAAGTCACACTTCTGGTCATCGAAAGGGAACCATGTGATATCAATCTGACACGTACTCTTGAACATCCCCGGGGGAACCCATAAACACTTCCCGTCGTATGATATGATGATATTGGTGTGAAATGTGCCATCAAACTTCTCATCAGCGCTGGAACGCAACGGTGGGATCATATTATTGTTAGTTTAAATTTTGAAAGTACCCATGTGTATTCCTTCTTAGTTTGAAATAACGTATAATTATAATCGGAATTCTACAATGAATAAAATTCTCCACGACAATATTCCCTAATATTCTTTTAGGGTCACACAGGTATGCAAACGTAAAAACAGTCGATTCGAAATAATCGTGCACATGCGCTGCCCCATTCTCATTGTAACCGGGGTAACCGGTCTGATAAGGCCTGTTTTAATGGGGTTTTAATTAAGGGGCTCTAAACACTCTCCCTCATCACCTGTTGTACATGAGAATGTCAGGCCGCCATATCTTCTTAGTCGGGACTCTAACGGCAGTGACATTGCCAAACTCTTCCGGGTTCCAGACAAGGTTGACATCGTACCAAATCTGGAAATTAGTGTGAGAACTAGTTGAGCTGCCTATTATCACTCATGACATTCTAATGCGTATCAAACTTATTGAACTTTCAACTTTATGTTATTGAAAAGATGACATCTTACTGTTTAGAATGTGAAGTGTAAAGTATTGCACTTCCACTAAACATCATCTTAACTGACAGAAATAACTTTCTTTTCTGACATTTCAAAAGAAAATAACATTCTATGCACTGCAACATGTTTCCCATGCATTTATATGTTCTCGTTTCTTTAAGAACAGAAGGAATAAAATTAATCACTAGGATTTTTAACACAACGAACAAGGCATCTTGATATATATTCTGCTCAATTAAAGAGCTGTCTGGTAAGAGATTTGATTAAATTGTATTTAGAATGTGTATGTGTTAAATGGCCGAGCAATTGACGACACTTCGAGGGCTCGTACAAACAGTTAATAAAGATGCATGCACGTGGAGAGGAAACATGTTGCAATTTACCTGGCATAAACACATAGGAAGACATCTCGTTCTGGCACTAATTACATTGTAAGGTTCACACAGATGGACACGTGGCTAGCTAGTCGACAAATCAGGGACTGGATTGCTAGAAGTATTGTGTGATGGAGGTGATTCTGAGTTATATTGCTGATGAAAAGAATATTGCTTCAGAAAAAAATTGTTTCCCAAAGATTAAATGAAAATGTATGATTATTATTTTAGGTCATTTAACTGATGCATATACAGCGTATAAATACATTTCAGAAAAATTGCAACATGGTTTTTAAAGTGATAATGCAGGAAACTCATTATTTTGCAATCCAACAAAGTAGACTATAATTATATGTTTAGATAGTGGTGCGAAAGACTGATATAGAGAGACACTGGGAAACGAAGGAAGAAATTTTGTTAGTCACAATGGTCCGATCCATATTCAGTAAAGTGCTACAATGTCCAAACTGGGTACCATCACAATACTAAATCGGGTACTCTGGGTATGACACTGGGGGAAAGGATGGGTGGGGATGAGGGTGAATATTAAAGCATATGAAGAAAACTTGAAAGTGAAAAGAATTTCATTTACAACGTGCATAGATATCAGATATATAGCTAACTACATTCCATTCTATCCATAGCTTCGAGCACGTCTAAGTGTTTATTCTATAGCAGCCGGAAGATGGCCAAGTCATGACTGTGCACGTCCTACTGTGCAAGCCTAAAGAAGAGGAAGAAAGGATTGGGAAAGTATTCTCTGTGCATCTAGAATTCCATGCAAGCTAATATAAATCATTCCGCATAACCGACATCTTTACTGAAACGCCGTCAAGGCATGTTTCCAACATAATTTGAGTAAGATAAATAACTTTATAATGCAGACAGTGCGCTATATATGCGTGGCGCGTCGGTACATATGAAGATAATAGTAATTCAAAGCTGAAGAGGAGCAATTATTAGTTAAAAACTTTCTATTCCACTGTATCCATCTACCAGCATCAGATCACGAAGGTCGATATTGGTTAATTTCCCCTCATTTCTCATGTTAATTTTTCAGTTTCTAATTGCATGTGAACGAAGGGACTAAAGATGAAAACTTACCAGTTGCAACCACAAATTTGTATGTATAATTTGATTCTTCTCGTCCTGTGAAATAAGAGGAATTTAATCAATTCCAGACAAGATGTTCATTCTGTTTGCTCTGTATACCTATGAAACACGAGGAAACGACAAAGTACACTTGGTGAGTCGCAGCAGCAGGCTACGTAAGGACAGGCAGTTCAAGAGTTGGTTCCAGTGCAACTACGAATTAGGACTCCCATATATAACCAACAGCTCTTTAACTGACACTCTTCTTGTAGTTTTGAAGACAGATTATACTGAAGACAGGCTTTACCAATGAATTTCAACTTCATTACTTCAATGCGACATGTGCTAGTACCTTTACCAAGTAACTGGACAGTTGCTCGATATGGGTGTATGCCTTCTTGACGAAGGAAACGCATGTACAAAACACCTCTTTCTTAGTTCTTTATGTCAGTTAAAATGCGGTGTTCTGTAAGAGAAACACATACAAATGGCAAATTTTGCATTATAAAGAACTGAATAGTTTTTTTTCAAAGTATACCCTATTATAAGCTTGACATGGAAGAGTGGAAGAAAAGTTAAAATCATTATATTTTTATATAAATTTTCCTTTCCTCGTCACTGGAAAAAATGAACTTTTGAACTACCATTGTCCTGCTGTGGGCGCTTCGCTATAGCTTAGATATTGACAACATGCAGAATGCAAACATGTAATACACCAATATCATCCCATTCCTAACACCTACTACCTTCCATCGACTTATAACATCCATATGCTTCCCCTAGCGACGGTTAGTACAGTGTAACACCTCTACCCATGTGCATAGTTAGTACTACAGCACACATCCAAATCAACTTTACCAGTGGACCATGTGCTAGAAAGAATGCATGCTTTGAATGCCCGGATGTTCATAGTACCAAGTTCCGCTTCCGGGTCAACATGTATCTTCCAGAATACGAGGGTGTGAAGTAATGTTTTTCGTTAAGATGCACATGCACTAAATGACTTATTATTTCATGTGAAATGAAATCTGTACAAACATAAAACAAGAGGACCTTAGATATTATAATATACGTTTCATTATGATTTTTATCCGTTTAAGGGATACTATTATATATGTGACATCACACTTATTTTCTCCGGGTTTACGGATTTTAGAAACCCCAAAAGAATATCGATAGCATTGAAATATGAGATTATTTATAACAGCTTTCAGTGAATTAATTTCTGATTTTCTGAATGATTTCTTAACGAGAAAAAATGCTGACGAGACAAGTTACTTACAAGAATGACTGCTAACGAGAAAGTGTCTTATGATCCGTAAAGCAAAGAATACAAGTGTGTCAATAGAGAGAACTTGGTACATGTCCCATCGCAGGGCACACTGCAGACAGAGCATAGAGCTATAGAGGTGTGAGTTACAGCACATCACTTACCACCTTCAACCATATGTTTGAATGCAATATTTGCCTGCGTTCTTCCTGCCCATAAGATACATTGGTTTGGAAACAAAAACAATAATGTGAACAAATGATCAGAAGCAAAACACTAAATAGATATGACATAATCAAACAGACAAATGTGCAAATCACAGACTGAAGGAATTATTTCAGAAAGTATTCAATAAATGTGATCACTTCCTTCATTTATGGTCAACTAATATTTATGACATCAATGGGTAAACAATATGAACAAAGAGGAAATTCAATGGCCTATTAAAACATAATGCATTTTTAAAATTAAATAAATACGGTATATCTACTGATAAAAACAAACGAATTAATATTAAATTAAACTGGATTTCACAAATTAATTCTATATAATGGTAAACATATGTTCTATTTCATTTTCAATTTCAAAGATGATCTTTGGTGTTGAATACAGCGAAAACCACACTGCTAAACACAAGTATATTCAGCAAGGCGCTACATACATGTACCACAATACCCTTGTTGATGATTATCTCAATACCTGCTTAGTTTTCCTCCAACATTAAGCTATCACGCTGTGATATAACTGAAATACTGTTCACAGCGGCGTTAAACCAAACTCAGATTGTTGACATCTATTTATTAACACTTCCTTCGGGAATATTTTACCGAATACATGTAGGTTCACGAAGATACGTAAACGATGTATTTATGTTCACATATATCTAAACACAATCGGGATTAAGGTAGGATATTATATGCTTGATTAAAAGGTATCCCCTGAAAACATGACACATAAACAAAAATATACATCAACATCACAACAGGATCGGGGACAGATGGTGTACAATACAATTCTATGTCCTCAACAATGCAGATTTAACAACATAACAAACAGATGAGCATGAACTAGTCTGAACTAGATGAACTACACATTCTAATCCGGGATCTGATTCCTGAAAGTGGTTCCTTTCATAATGAAAAAACACTCATATCGTATACTTTCAAACTGTTAATCTTTATTAAACAACCTGCGTCTTTAAAAGTAGTAAACTTAACATCATGCGAAGAAATATTCAGTTAATTTCAGTTAACTTCTTATCAACTCCAAGCATTATTGCAACTAGTTTTATTTCATAAACCTACATCACATTCAGCGCGTAAAGCCAAACTGGTGTCCGAACCCTGATACAGGCCATATTGCCTTGTTTATCTGATGGGCTTGTTTAAGTTTCCTATTTTGGACAAAGGTTCCGATCTTCGTATAAACAGTCCGAGACAAGTACCGTGATCTTCAGAAAGGATACATGCTGGGTACCTTAAGAGAGATATCCTGTTTAAGATTGATGAGAAAAGACTATAAACTCTCTCTTTGAGAAACAACATTGGAAAATGGATGCCAAAGTTAGTACGTGTGTAAACCTATCTGGAAATAAACACTTCAACATGAGAAATTTACAACACGCTTACTTTGATATTTTAAAATGATTGATCAAAGTTGTTTCCGCCTTACCGCAGTAACTTGTTTATACTCGATACGAAATTAAACACATTGCGACAGAAGTTAGCAAGGTATTCATGAATATTTGGTCATAGTTTTCACAAATTATGACATTAATTACAATAAGTGGACAGAATTTACTTTAGAAGAACATTATTGACGTATTATTTCTACTTCGTTATTTTAAAACGAAGATATAACATTTGTGTAAACATTCCCAAAAAATCAATTACTCGAAACGGTTTTACCGCTGAAGAGTAAAATGCTCATTATTACATCCATCAACGCCTTGTTAAAATGAATAGGGATTCCCCACCGATAATGTGGTGGATGATCGATGGTATTTGCTTATGCTTGTGTCATAAAGACTCTGCGACTCCTCTGGGTGAAATCATATATATTCAGTGTATCATATTCATCTCTAATTTAAAATATATGTAATTGATACATGTTAATTATATCAACGTGCAAAGGTCACTATGTTAAAAGCATCATGGACAGTGTATCTGATTACCTGACGTGGAGGGAGAACGTCATGGTTATATTTGACACAATGAATAATTACGATACCAGATCAAAATGAAATACAATATACTGGCTTTTTATTACCTTATAATTGTTTCAATGGTTGAGCCAATACTATTTATGCGTTTTTTTAGGCTGGCTATCAAAGTGGAGATAACTCATTTAGTACTACACAGATGACCGTTAAATATGATTAATACCTACCACGTCTATGATTTGCTGTAATATGATACCGAGGCTGACGTTGACTGGATGCGTCTCATTAGCTACAGGGCGTTCAAGGTTGTTGTATTTGGTGCCTTCAAAAAGATGACGTAGAAGGCGTCGTTCGTTCTCCCCCTGAGAGCTGTCTGTGAACACAAATGAGAATTATGTATAGAAATTTAAGGTTATAAAAATAATTGTCTCATTGCATGTGGGTATCACAGAACAGTAAAACCTCATTAGTCCGGACCACGTTTCTTTCTGGATACCCCGCGTTCTGTGCGAATTTGGCTAGGATTTGTTTGTTTGTTTAATTGTTTTGTTGATTCATTGTTCTGTAAAACCGCGCTCGGAATATTCCAGCTATATGACAGCAGTCTGTAAATAATCGTGTCTAGACCAGACAATACAGTGATTGACATCATGAGCATCGATCTACGCAATTGGGATACGATTACATGCATCAGACAGCGAGTCTGACCACCTGATCCCGTTACCTGTACGACAAGCAAGGGCTGTGGAAGATCAATTCCAACTCGGATTTTCACGAGGGAACTGCTAGGAGCGCTAAACTATTACACAAAAGCCCAGTACTTCAAACTCATGATTCGTGAAAACGGATATTTCTTCATCCGGATGATTTGAGTGGAAACGCTAGCGTCCGAGATAATCGTGTTTCCTTATACCTTATAAACCTCGATGCCTTGTGGCATTAATGTCCGCATGTTGCCCATAAGGGTAAAATGATCTTATGTAATATCTTTCCGATACAGTGGTCCATTCTTGAGAAAAATATGACGTCATCCATTGTTCATGACGTCACAAATTGATAGCCTGATGTCATCTGAACAATAGACTGGCTTCAAAGAAGTCTGTCTGTTGGGTTGACATATTATATGTTTTTCTTCCTTTTCTCTATTAAAATGTTAATGGGTATATTATTGAATAACCTGCTCGAAACTCAGAATTGCGGATAATCTGTCCATCCTTAGTCTCTAAATGGCTGTCGTCAGATGACGTGTCCATGCAATATGGAAGTGACAATATCCAGAACGTATACTCACCGAATTGTTTCTCAATAAAAGAACGTAACAGGCACATATGTCGTCATATTCTTTCATATGGCTACAGTTTATGGCATCGCATGAAAATTAAATAGAATCGGGTGTTCTTTAACCTTTCTCGAGTAGTATAAATGAAATACTGTTCAACACAGCGTTAAACCAAACTAACTCACTCGCTCATTGTCAAAGATGAATATATACTGATCAACGACAGAGAAGAAAGAATCACATACTTTACACTATTTGTCAAATATACAGATACACTATGGTTAACATACATTTCAATAACAATATTGCTGCATCATAGTCATTGGCTCAGTTGGCACTTTTCGAATCAAATTGCGATATCTATTGATTTGGTGCAGCGCATGAATGATGATGGTGTATCTTGCACCGGAATGAGGAGTCATGAGATATATTTATTGTGTTTATTAATAGTAGCTGCATGACATACCCTGAATCAATTAGCCTATTGTTATAAAGATTGCCTCAGTTGGCTCTTTTCGAATCAATCTATTTCAAATTGCGATATTTATTGATTTTCTGCATCGCTTGGCTGATGATGGTGTATCTTGCACCAGAATAAGGAGTCATGGAATATGTTGTTGTGGGTATTAAGAGTTGTTCCGTGACAGTCATTGAATCAACTGGCTTACTGTCATAAAGATTGGATGACGTCACTCTATTAACAGATATGTGCTCCTGTGTGGAACACTGTTTGGAACACTATGTGCTCCTGTTTGGAAATGCTAGTGAACCAATGGTGATGACGTACCTTGCACCAATATGAGCAACGTCCCCAGTATCAGCAGCAGTGTCGTGGTCCCATCCAGCATCCTCACGGCTACCACTCGTCAACATTCACGCCGCGAACTGAAATACAAGCACAGGCTTAAGTCGAAAATGACAAACAGATGAAGAGAAATAGTTCTCCGTTTTGTTGACCAATTTGAGAAACGCCATGTTGCGCTTTCTCATCACATAAAATGCACACGCCGTGATTTAGACTACATAGTTAAGCCATAACTCTCTTACTCTCTCTTATATGTTCCTAATCAGAATGTTGTTTATCGTAGTTTTGGGAGACTATACGATACAATTACTGGCATAATGAACAGATTTGCATCACGCGGTGATACTGCTGGACCGTGCACTTAATACATTCACACCTCCTAGTCAGCCGTTTTACAATCAACACGACCACGGGGCCCTACAAAATTAATGCCAACTGACCGTTTATGTCCCAAATGATACCTCTCGGTCACAATAATCCAAATACTGCATACATATATTTACATGCACGTGGGTGAAATATGACATTTTACATATATCTACATACATAATCTACCAAAACAACATTATTGGCACTTAACAAAATACGTGCATCACATTGACTTATACGGCATTGCAAATCAAGTAAATCTGCATACTGGCATACATGTTTTGGCAGTATATAGATTTTACGTATATCTAAATACATAATCTAAGTCTATTTACTGGAACAGCATGAGGTAATGCAACATTAATGAACTTGGTGAAAACATGCTGGTTTGATAATCACTCAAATTATGTCAAGTTGCAGACCATACACTGCACACATGTTGCCACGAAGCTTATGTAATGTACTTAATAAGAATACTTCCGCTTGTGAATACTCTTAGATGCATGAATCCTTTTGTTTCATCTAATGGAAATCAATAACACAGGTAGCACGCAATCAACACATGACTGTTTCAAGCAGTGACAGCTGTAACCGTTTGCTTAAACCATCCGCTGAAGTAAGTGATAACGTCAACACTGTATAGGGCGTTGAATGTAACGTTGACCTGTAAATGGAGGTGAGTGAATACACGATTCCCTGAACGTTATTTGTATAATTTGTTAATGACATAAATAGGTATTAACACTCTGCCAAAACACAAGGGTAATAGACTTGGCCTTTATTGGCATTTTCAGAATGTGCAAAGATATAATTATTTCACATGTTTTTATAATTATTTTTGTTTGTATAAAGCCGCCCTCAGTAGTTTTCCTGCTGTGTGACGGTGGGCTGTAAAGATACAGATATGGGCAACGCTCCACACCGTCGGGTTTCGACGTCGTGCAGTCAACCATGTCACTGATCCTGACCACCTGATCCATTTGGTCACCTCTTACGACCAGCATAGGCTGCAGGGACCTTTTCTAACCCGGAATCCCACGGGTCAGTGGAAGATGGAAACCAATGTACTGGTTGTTCGGGTTAAGAGTTTGGACGGTTCAAAATCGGAATTTTGGGCTAATGGAAGTTTATCTGAACAGAATTGAAACGTCTTAACGGTGTGCCACATATTAAACTCGGCGATTCATATTATTTCATATTAATGCAACTATTATTAACAGAAAAACTAGAAAATCTGCAGAAGTGCTGATCTACATCGGCAGAGATGGTCTCTGACATAGGTTAAGGTCCAGTGTTCATTCAGACCATGGGTTGGTTAGCCTAATGGTTAAAGCGTTCGCTTATCACACCGAAATCCTAGGTTTGATTCCCAACTCGTGTAAAGTCCATAAATGCTGGATTACTGCTAAACATGAGCAAAACAATACTCACTTTCTGAGACCATGCCCATGTGTAACCAGGCGTATGCTATCATGACGTGATTGTGTTAAAAACTCGCTTTATCTTATTTTGTTTTTGCAAAATCGAAACAAAGAATCTCAGAGAAGAAGGCAATCCGTGTAAGTATCGTTTCACGAACCAAATATACGTATCGTAATGTTAGCTTGGCTTATAATTCTGTTAGTCCAGATCACCAGTTCACATCGGGGGGGGGGGGGGGGGGGGGGGCATTGATCAAGTACGCTCACATTAATGATGCTGGCATGTATTCGCATGTACTTCAACATCTGTGATTATACGAGCATCATGCCACCATGTTCAGTAAGGATGGACCGAACTAAATGCACTATTATCAAACCATAAACCGGGGAACAATTGCGACATTTATTGCTGTTGTGTTGAGATATAGCGATACTGAATCAATCAAAACTGGGACAAAAAAGACTATGCAAACAAATACCGATCGGAATGACCCTGCACGCGTGTTGCCAACCACTGGTATCGATGTGTTCAATATGGCTGCGCCATCACGCAATGTACCATTTCAGATGTATTTAGCGGGACAAAAGTCCTGCATGACACTATGCTGTCAAGCGTTCACTCAGTGGGTGGTGAGATGAAGAACAAGATCGCTCTCGCTTCAGCACCATCATGCACATCTGCACATTTTTTTTAGCAAAGTATTCTTTCCAGTCCTATGTGGCGTGTTTTAGGGTCTTCTTTCGAGTACATTTTTCACGAAAGTGTTTAGAGAATAGATTAATCAAAGAGTATTATGGCAATCTCACAGATTTGCATTTAGGATTCGTTTTGTGCGTTAAAAAGATTTGCGATTTCACTTAAATGTCACAGGTTGAAGTGGGTGTAGTCTTTTAGCGAAGAGAAGCATCGCAACACTGAAAGTGTAGTAAGGTCCCCACCCCCACCCCTATCCCCACTCCCCACCCCCACACAACCTCTCTCTCAGATCAAAAGTCCTTCAATATTCTGGAATTAACTAGACGAGCTCACCAGAACGTCTCCATATATTACATATTGTAAGTAAACCGATTCAATTGAAAGGGCAATACTATCATCCTGAGGAGTGAAAGTACGGTTAAATTACACAGTGATGAAACTGAGCACAGTTACTGGGTTCAAGTCAGTTGAACCAACGGGTCGATATACTATGTTTCCTTCGTTAGTTTTAGTTTACCCGGATCCTTAATAAATGGCACAGTAAAACAATAGTATTTCGCGTTCAGCGCTTTTGACGCGACGCCATTCATTTAAAACCAAAGAATTGCACATTTAATCAAGAAGGTCAGTATCGTGGTAATAAGGCTAAGTCAATCATAAATCTCGTTTTCCTGCAAAATAGGACAATTTCTTTTACAATGAAGATGTATAAAAGTTTATATACAGGTTTAGTAGGATGCACTATAGCAACAGACCTTTGGTAGGCCTTTAGAAGCTGGAAGAACATGAAGACACGAAGAACCTTTGTATGGATAACAGCTTCTTTCATTTGGTGAATTAGCCCTGAAACGTCATTACAAATAATAAAGACGTTGTTATCTATTAAAATAAATCATGTCTTCAGGAAAGTACAAGTCCGCTTACATACATGAAAAACACATAACGTGATGCCCGTCGTTTTCAACTTATAGAAACATTTCAGGGCAGCAGGACCTGCTCATGAAAAAACAAGTAACTACCGAAGGCTTACACTTGATTTTCGTTCAGCGATAAAGTAACTAACCAAAAAGATTAAAGTTTATTTGATTCAAATGCCAATTTATACAAAATCGTTAAAGACTTACTTGTGTAGACGTAATATCCTGTTTCCCAAAGTAAGTTAATACGCGCTTTCCTTTATTCCATCCGTATCACGTCAGTTGTATTGATTTCCGTGAACTTGCACTGGCTATGTAACTGAACTTCGACCTCTTGAAGCTCTCAACCACAAGGGCCTTCTTATTCATACTCAGTTTACAGGCATGAACACATGGCTACGACCACTTCACACAGTATTCATCCGCCTAAACACGCGGCAACATAGTCCACGTGCAATTACCGTTCAACAGCAGGTGGCATCAGGCTGGGGGTTTCAACTATACACTGTTTGCAAGTTGGTTTACAGTTCTCACGGGAGGTGCTTGTGACAAGTGCTTGTTAAGGGGGTGGTGGTTATACTAGAAACATTGCCACCAAACACGTGGTCTTCTGGAAATGACGGCTGTCAAACTACATACGGTATAGGGACTTTTCACCTTATATCTTGTATCGTGAAATGTTATCGATTATTATGAAAGAGTCCGTGCCTTGTTGTAATTTAAGACGTTAATTGCATACATGCGTGAGAATATTCCCCATACTATTTACAGGACATATGTATGTACATATCTTGAGGTCGCCCTTTTCACTGGCGACAGTTCCAAACGATGTACATTAGAGTGTGGAAATATGAAACTTTAAAATAATTGATCAGATTCTGAACGAATTTCAATTTCAATTATAATAAATAAATTGAAAGTGATAATAGAAAGGGCGGGTTTGTATTGTAATATATTGCATGTCAACAATGTCACTGATTTCGTATATAGTCGACGTTTTTTGTGTGTTAATGATTAAATAAACAGTCTGTGATGTTATTATAAGAATTGACTTCAGAATGTTTTTGTGTTTATTGCGTTAAACATAAAAAATGAACGTTTAAAATCGGTGCGCGCGTTTTGAGTAAATGCACCCAGTATGCACACCGGCATTGTAAGTTATAACTCCCAAAACACAAAATATATTGATATCAAGTAAATTATATTTTCGAACTTTTTCAAAGACAAATCCCAGGGTGAGGGGTGTTAAATTATCGTCATGCTGCGATTCATGGGATGAGTGTAACTTGGTTCAAAACCATTAAGTCATGTATGACCAGATGAGAACACTACACACCACAAACAGTACAAACAAATATAATCCAAGTCTAAACATATGGGACAATAATGCTATTTGATTAATGTATCATCTGTTTTTGAATCTGTCTTCACAGGGGAAACAGACATCAAATACTTTTAATGTCCATGTATTGATTTGTGATCGCATGAACTGAGAAAATAGATACAGACCCTCGGGTTACGTTTCGGCTACTTGAACACCATGTTACATGTTTCTACAGCGACACAATTTACTTTGAGGATTTATTTGTAAATATGAAACGTCAACGGCAGAGAATAATCCCGAGTATCTGCCGAAACAGATTCCATTAAACGTAACGTAATATGCCATCAATATA